ACAAAAACACAATAAAATGAACTGCTAACTACAGGGCCTAAAATTTATATATATGGTATATAGAATTTAACGGCACAATTCTTTCAACTCCTAAGAATAAAGTTCACAGTATCAATATATAACAGAGAACTCAAGCAAGATAGAACTAAAAAGTATTAGATTATGCAACTAGGTAACCTTGATTATGTAAAGGGGGTGTAGTAAAACTATAAGTCAGCTAAAGCATATTGCTAAGTTCAAAGGAACTAAATGAAGATCAAAGAAATCAGAGTGGGTCAAGAAGAGAGGATGGCTGGGCATGCCTATAATCCCAATGGGTCAGGAGGCTGAGGCAGGATGGTGAGTTCAAAGTCAGCCTCAGCAAAAAGCAAGGCAGTAAGCAACTCAGTGAGACCCTGTCTCTAAATAAAATACCAAATCAGGATGGGGATGTGGCTTAGTTATTGAGTGCCCCTGAGTTAAATCCCCAGTACCCCCTTTCCCCACAAAAAAGAAGAGAGGATGATAACTACAGAGCAACATAAAGTAAAAGATTATAATACTCCTTTAAGATGGAAAATGAAAGCAAGCTACTTCACCTGAAAGATCACCTTATTTTATCTTTTCCAGAACATGTACGTGGGCTTGACTGTCCCCACACATTCTTGCTGAGTATGCCATCTGCAAAGCTTTCCATTTCCTGATACTGAATTGTTTTTTGTAATAAGCTACATAGGCAAAAAAGATCAAGACAACCACAGCATGTAACTGTCCAAAGGAGAGGTAAACTAGCCTGTTTGTTGTCTGCTGCAATATTTGTAAGCTGGCTTTAAAGGGGAATGCACCCTTGGCTCTGCATTCCTCAATTATGAAACAAATCCCCTGCTTATGTCCATCTGAACACCCATTATAGGTTCTTGGAACTTGAGAACAAGAGAAATCTATTCAAATATGCTGATGTTCAGGTTGCCATGAGTAATGTTATTTTTCTTTGATTTGGGATTTTCCTGTTTTCTGCCAACCACCACAAAACCTTAACAGACTAAAATATTAGCTTGTAAACAGGGCATTTATTTATCATGTACCAGTCTATGTTTTATATATATTTCGGTACTTCTTACACTATCCTAATGAGATGGCACTTATATGAGGACCCTGAAGCTTCAAGATGCAAAGTAACGGCCAGGCATGGTGGCACAAGCTTGTAATCCTAGCAGCTTGGGAGGCTGAGGTAGAGGATCACAAGTTCAAAGACAGTCTTAGCAATTTAGAGAGGCTTTAATAATTCAGGGAGAACCTGTTTCTAAATAAAATATAAACAGGTTAAGGATGTGGCACACAGTGGTTAAGCACCCCTGGGTTCAATCCCTGATACCAAAAAAGAAAAGATGCAAAGTAACTAAGGCAATATCTCAAAAATTGCAAACAGCACAACTTAAATATAAGCCTAGATGACATTAAAACCTGTTTTTTGTTTTTATGGTACTGGTGATCAAACCCAAGACCTCAGTGAAAACCAGACAAGCACTTTACCACTGAGCTATAAAATAACTAGCTCCAAATCCTGTTTTTGGCCATTAATTATAAAGCTTCCTTTCTAGTTGATTTATCAAAGGCAAATTTAATTCTCCAGATCCAAGAGCAAAGTATTCAAATCTTCATAATGTGAATACTTCAAATCATGTTTCATTGAAAACTAACATTCTAGAATGGAAATGTTAACATAATCTTAAAATCTTTAAAAAATAACTGTGATCAAAGATAAGGAAGAGCAAAAATAAACAAATCCAAACTACTGTCTTACTATAGAATTTCTCGTAGTTTTAAAATGCTAGTATATGTTATAAATCTTCCAAGAATACCTATTTCATCATTCTGGAACACAGTCTGGGAAACTACTGCTAACAATGAAAACTGCCAATTTAACTTCTACACAGAATACCTTTTAAATCTTAGTAGTCACCTTGGTGGAGGTATATGATCCTTTAAAACATAGAAGATCAAAGTTAGAATGTGGTCTAACAGCTGCAAGACAAGTTAATTATTTAATAATTTGGGACACTGTTGTTTTCTGACCAAGCAAAACTAAATTTCCCATAAGTCAAAAAAACTATTTATCTTGCCTGATTTTTTTTTTCAAATTAGAAGGGTAACAATCAAGACTTTTTGTAGTTCTACACTGTTTTACTTAACTGCTTAACTCTTTTACTTAATTGCTTTACTTAACTAAATTCAGATCCTTTTAACAATGGAAGGGAAGAAGCAACCATAGAAAAAGCAGTTTCCAGAGAAAGGTTATCTATTCATCAATGCAAGAAAGTCATTCTGATGTTCTGGGCAGCACTGCCAGTTTTCCAATATGGAGAGCTAAATTTTAAACCTTTAAATAAATAATAAAATAACACGGCATACCATTCCATTCCTATGGATACCTGCCTGTCTCCTGACTTAGTCATCTCTTAACATTTAACAACCAAAGTTGTTTATTGCTCCAGTTTATTAACCATTCCAGAGTTCGTTCGGACACACACACACACACACACACACAGACACACGCGTGCGCGCGCTAAAGCAGTCACAAAACAGCTGTGGTCATCCTAAAAGTCAGAGACAGAAATCTAGCTTCTAAGTCTACATAAAACTTAAATTTAGCTGTTTCTGTAACATATACCAAGACAGAGTTATTAATGAGACCATTCACAAAACCAAGAGTTATTCTGAATAGATGAAATTACTATGTAATTTCAAAATAACAAAAATTAAAATGCAAATTTAAATTGTGCTAACATTCTCTACTGCTTTGCCTTACAGGAGAAACAAACTGATATCCCACCTAAAGGCAGTAGAATCTTTAGAATAACTGAGTTTTGCCCTCTGCTATCAAGGAACGCCTCCACCCATTCAAAGTCTATATAGGTCAAAGCTTCGGACTGAAAAAATAAGGGGCAATAAAATATGATATTGTAAGCAGGGCATGGTGGCTCAATTTTTAATTCCAGTGACTAGAGAGGACAAGTCAGGAGGATTCTAAGTTCAAATGTGGCCTGAGCAACTCAGAGTCTGTCTCAAAATAAAAAAAGAAAAAGAGCAAGGGATGTAGCTCGATAGTAAAGTGTCCCTGGATTCAAATCCCAATGTCAGAAGGGAAAAAAAAAAAAAAAAAGAAAAAAAGATATTATCCACTTATTTTTGAAAGAAGTAGAATAAAAGAAAGTATCTGAAACCTGAAAGAGCATGGGCTGGGGTTACAACTCAGTGCTAGATCACTTGCCTAGCTCATATGAGGCACTAGGTTCAATCCTCAGCACCACATAAAAATAAATAAATGTATTGTGTCCATCTGCAACTAAAAAAGAAAAAATTTTTTTAAACCTGAAAGCAGATTTCAACATTTTAGTAGCAGGAATTTTGAAAAATAGTCTCAACTGGTAATACCTACTGAAAGCAAATGTAACAATAAATTATTTAAAGTGCAGCTACATCAGTTAAAATTGTTTTGATTAGTGACTTATGTATGAGAACACTGTTGATCCCAATAAGCAAATTCATCCAAAAAGAAAGAATTTAAATCACTTCATACCATTAAGAGAAACAAACAGAACAGAAAGATAAGAAAAATGAAAAAAGTACCACTAATATTATTCAACATTTATCTATTGCATTTTATTTTTGCTAATGTTTACAAAAATAAGTAATTTACTTTAGAAAAAGTAAACTCACCAAAAGTGTATACACTGACAAATTGAAAGACACCCTCTATTCTAGCACCAGTATTTCCCAAATCATTTTGGAAATACTGATAAATTTTCAGAAATTTCTTAACTTGATTTATTTGGAGGTTTTACAGGAGGTAGACAAGTTGACAACTGAAGTACTGTGAGTTCTTCCGTAGAAAAATGAAAAATTACATACCTTGAGATGTCATCTTTCAGTACTCTTCATGTGTCAAGATGCATTTATTAATAGAAATTCTTAATTCACAATAATATGCAAATAGTTTGAATGAAATAATGGAATTAACTAATCTACATTTGTAAAATTTTATAATCTATAAACTGCATCATTACCAGTAGGTATTAACATTTTTCTCCTTTTCCTCAGTAAACAGGTTTAACTAAATTATCATCTCAAAGTTTATAGACTAACATGCTACCAAGCTGCAACAGAACTGTCATTTATTATAGAGTACACTTTTAAATAAGATTTACAATAAGAATTCCCAATGACATCATCAGAATTAATACACAAAGGAAAAAATACAGGAAAACTGACAAAAAGTAACAAACAACACATTTCAACATTTAAAGTAACAGAAATTTATATAGTTGAAACCGGAAAACCTTGTGTTTAGTGAAAATTAATTTTTCAAACAAGATCAGAATTTTTTCAAATAAAACATTTCTGCTCCTTGCACCCCCCCCCTCCAAAAAAAAATGCATGTGGGAATGAAGGGGGGGGAATGAATATAATCACTTTTAATAACTAACTTAATGGAAAAGGACAAAATGACAAGGTTAACGAGAGCAGGCAAGGCCAGCACTAAAGCTATTCTCTACAGTTCCACAATTCCTAACCCGCAATTTTACCAAATCTGCAGCCTACCTTGTACATAGTACTTACACCTCCCCCACCCACCCCATTTATGACGGCGACTACCTTCCTGGCAGGTATGTGAACTTAGCTGTTTCCAGTTGAAAATCGCCTGGGCAGTCTCGGGAGAGACTGAGACCGGGAATAAGGAGAAATAAATGAGTTCTACGGTGTCGGTGGTAAGACTGTCTTACAGGGTGGAATATGTTGCGGATGAGGGGACCAAGGGGAGACATGGAGCAAGAGGGAAGGGTCTTGATTAGAGTCACAAGCAGAAATCCAACTGAAGAGGTGTGAGGGAAAAAGCCCAAGCCAGAGGTCCAAAATAATAATAATTAACTAGAACGTTCTCCCGAAGAATAACCTGAGGAAAGGGATTCAGGGGCCACAGTGGGCGTCAGTCCCGAGGTCCCAGGAGGCCGGGAACTCACCACCTGGTAGCGGCCAGTCCCCAGCTGGTGATGATCCATCCTGCCCGGCTCGGGATCCGGCTTCCGAGCGGACAAGTCCCCTCCGCGCTCAGCTCCCTCGGCCTCCCCCGTCGTCGACGTCGTTGCCGCAGCGCCGCTTCCGCCTGGGATTCTGCCGCCGCGGTCGTCCGGCGGGGACGCTTCACTTCCTGTCGCTCCCGCAGTAGCCGCGGAGATCTCCGCGTCGCGCGCGGTTCGCTGGAGAAGCTCCGGGGCGTCGCGTGCGTTACTGAGCATGCTCGGGACGGTCGCGCATGCTCGCTGGCTCCTCCGGTGTTCCATCCGCGCCGTGGCTCAGAGGGTACTGCTGGGTGGGAGGAGATGGGAAAATAGGGGAAGTTCAGGGAAGCAGTGTAGGTTGTCAGTCTGTCGGGAGTGGGAGGTGGCAAAAGGAACTGGGAAAGAAAAAAAAAAATCGACGTCCTTGATTGGGTTTTTCTGTGTACGCGGGTTTTGCGCAGTAAGGAGCAAGGGCACTGCAGAGAGACGGATATCGCGAGGAGAGGGGACGCATTCCTACTACACCTGAGAACAGCTTCCTGTTGGTGTTCATCCAGCCTTAGGACAGTGCAAGGCAATCCATCTCGAGCGCATTCCTAAAACGGTCGTTCAGCTTCATTACCGAGTCAGACTTGGTGGCGACGCCTGTAATCCTAGCAACTCCAGAGGCTGCGATAGGAGAATTGCAATTTCAAGGCCAACCTCAGCAACTTAGCAAGACACTGTCTCAAAATTTTAAAAAATTAAAAAGACTGGCAAAGTAGCTCAGTATTAACGCATCCCTGGGTTCAATCCTTAGTACAAAAAAAAAAGTAAGGCTTTTTTAAAGATTATTTTTAGAGCAACTTAGGTTCACAATAAAATTTAAAGAAAAGTATAGTGATATCTTTTATACCTCTTGTGCCCACACGTGCAAAGCCTGCCCCACTAGGGCAATACGTTATCAACACTAAACATTTGTTATAATTGATGAACCCATATTGAAACACCATTATCACCCAAAGTCCATAAAGGTTTTCATTTTTGGTGGTGTACATTCTAGGGGTTTGAACAAATGTGTAATAGCCACTATAGTATCATAGAAAATACTTTCACTGCCTTAAAATTCTGTGTGGAATACTTGTTTAAATCCTTTTTTTTTTTTTTTTTCGTTCTTGGTAGTAAGGAATACACAGACATATTAATATATCTCTCAAGGAAACAGGCCTTTAGCGTTCTGGGTTATGAGAAGGAGAAAAATAATGAAATAAGGTAGGAAATGTTGTGGTAATTATCAATAATTCCTAGGAATTTAACTTTAAGGAATGACTCTGGACTATTGTAATACTCTGTCAGTGTCTGTTTAAGCACAGATGGTATATGCATCTCTCACCCAGAACACAAAGCATGTTTCGCTAGCAAGTAGAAGAGTCTAAGGGAGCAGCAAAAAGTACTTTTTAATCCAAAGGCCTGCTTTTTGTACCCTGAAAACTAAATAACATGTGATCCCACATGATCAGGCCCAGCTATCTTTTAAGATAATTGAACCCTTTCATCCTAAGTGATATTATAGAAGAGCCTATTAAGGAGAGAGGATAGAGAAGTGTCTGGAACAGCACTCACTTTACTTTCCTCATGAATAAGAGGAGATTCCTGGAAGGTCAATGGATGAGCCTAACCAACTTGTTTAAATATCATGATACAATAAAGAGGGAAATTCACTGAAATATCATCAGCTAAAAAGTTTAAACCTTCCTGATGGCTTTTTTTCCCCAAAGCATTCATCAGCTCTACCTGGTTTAGCTATGTTGATACATCTGGTAGTCAAGAGCATTACTAAGATAACAGTAATGAAAGGCAATGATATCATACTTAAATTTCTTTAAACTTGCTTTGTAATGATCTAGTGTAATATATTTTAGAATCTAAGACAACAAGTATGTCATCTTATTGATATCATTGACATAAGTACTCACACACTCACACTATCAACCCAATTGGAATTGTCTATCAGTGATCAAAACAGCCAATGGTAGCAAAATAAAATTAGATTCCTACTCATTTATGTTTGATCGGGCTGATGTAGTAAGTGCTGAAATGATATAGAATTAAATTTTATATGTGCTTGTGTTTTCATTGACCTTTTTTTAAAATCTTTATTTATTTATTTTTATGTGGTGCTGAGAGTCAAACCCAGGGCCTTGCACATACTAGGTGAGTGCTCTACCACTGAGCCACAATCCCAGCCCCTCATTGGCCATTTTAATGTCCATTTCTCAAACAGACTTTTTCTCAGAAACTATTTCTTACTCCCCATACAATACTGAGAACCCGATGTTGAAAACCAGAGACCTGATCAATGGCAGGCATCCTAAATCCTGTTAGAGTAACAAAATCTTTCAGTTTTACCCTCCTCCAAAGTTTTTTGAACATTTTGTTACTCTAGTAGAGAAGGTGACAGGACTCAACAGGAAAGCACATTTTTAATGAGGAAGAGGAGACAGTAGTAGAACAACAATGTACAAGTAATGAGCTCTTCTTAATCCAGGGACTATACATAAATTATTTTATCCTCACAATAACCCCATGAGTTAGACATTATTGTAACCCCTGTTTAGTAGATGAGGAAACTAAGGCACAGAGATATTAGGTATATTTCCAACACCAAATTACCAGTAAGTGATGAAGAACACCAGAGCTTCCACTATCTTAAGCACTATGCCATAATACAATCTTGCAAAAAGAGGACTTGTCTTTCTCCTTTCTGGCTACTACTACTGTAAAACTGTTTCAGAAGACATAAAACTACAGTGATGCAGCACCACAAATAGCCATGTCTTCATCTATATGAAATAATGTTTCTCGTCATCCCAAAAAAGAGCCATTTTGAGCTTCATTTCGACTAAGCCTGTGTGATCTGTAATGGACCATCACAAGCAGAGGCACTGACTTGTCACCCTGGAAGCAATTTCTTTGGAATGAAACATGAATAACAATATTCTTTGGCACTTCAGAGGTCTTGAGTAATATCCAATAATATTTTCAAAATTTGATCTTCTGCTGATAATTCCAGTTACCTAAGAAATTGATGATGGTACACTGTTATAGGCTACTCAGTAGAATTGTTGACTTAGTGCTCTTGACTAACCCCTCTTTTTCTGGTCTAATCAATATTCATCTCTAAACACAATCACCCAACATATTACTAGTGAATGCTGAAATACTGGGACAGATACACTTACCCAGATTCCCTTTCAAAAAAACTCACTCTGCCCAGGAATGCAGATATTCAACATCTTCCAGCTGTTAGCTTTGCCATGGTTTCCCTTAGCTTTCAATCTTAGGTGGAGCTGCTTTCATGATGACATTCAGCCATTGAATGAATAAGGTGGTGGCATAAGTTTAAACTTTTTTACCTTACTCCAGATCTCTTTAAGGAGCATACTTTGCCTGTCAAGCTGGCAAAACTTTGTCAAATCATGCGCAATCCTTTTTCTTTTCACACCTGTTTCTCTCCAATAAATCTCTTGCACTCTTAGTTTTTTATCAACATCTGCTTCCTAGAGAGCCCAACCTAGACAAGTACCAATAAGTAAAGTAATAGAAGATTATTAATATCATCAAAATTATGTTAAATATCTATAACTATCATTTCATGTGGTGATGTTTCATGTCCAGAATGACCCTCAGAACCCCACATTGTTAGCATTTGCTCATGTAGACATAATGTATCTACCACCTTAACACTAAGAAACTTCAATGTTTTACAGAGTGATGCTGTCGGATCACAGGGACCTCTTTGTCTGGGACAGATGTCCCATAGGGAACACTCCCAACTTCCAAGAACAGAACCATTTTCTCTAGAGTTAAACTCCTTTCTTGTCAATCATTATCCTCTCCTTTTACTTCTAACAAGGTATATTGAGATCTGTACCTGTGCACCAGAATTCTGTGTTGAGATTTTCATCAAAGAGCAATAGAAATGTCAGTGTCTATAGAAGGCCATCTACATAGGCCTAAGTCACAAGTAGCCTAGTGCTCCACATTTTCCTTACTTGACTTTCTTTTTTTTTTTTTTTTGGTCACTTCCTCTACAATATAGAACACATAACATAGAACTACTCCTTAAAGTAGCTTCTGATGGTTAGTGTGACCAAAGACCTTAATAATTAATTGCACTGGGAATATGTAAGATTTTTGTATATTTATCTAGAGAATGAAAAAGTGTAAAATTGCATTCTCTATCTGAAAATGTCTATCTCTTCTCAATTAGAATTTATTAGCCATTATTTTCTGAACTTTAAATTCCAAAACATATCTTAGAATATGCAAGAAACTATTTCTTTTTCCTTTAATAAATGAATAAGCACATTTATTACTCTAAAGTTTTATCTCTGTTACCATGAGTATCTTTAAAGCAATTCTGAAGTATTGAATCTCAACTTAGCTTCACATGTTCCTTATTTAAAAGGTTTTGAGAGTTCTGTTATCTGTTCAGCTCTATAATTTTAGGGAGGAAATCTCATGTGAGCAATTTGACAATCAAATATCTACTTCCTTGCCCTCTCTTTATTCTCTTTCAGTACAATCTAAAATATAACCAGTGTTTTTCATCAGCCAGAATTTAACTAGAAAAACAGATTTTGCAGAAGATATACATTAACAAATTTATTGCAAATAATTGGCTTATACAATAGCGGGAACTGGCTAGGCAAGTATGAAACCATTAGCTCATGCCACTGGAACTCCAGGACAGAAGCTGAAGCTACTGGCTCAGGCAGAATTTCTTCTTAGGGAAGTCTCAGTTCTGCCCTTAAATACATTTAATTGATAGAACCAGGCCCATTAAGATTATAGAGGATAATCTTCTTTACTTAAAGTCAACTGATTTTGAACTTCAATCACAGCAATGCCTAGAACAGTGCTTAATGAATAATCGAGGTGACAGCTTAGCCAGATTGACACAGAGAACTGACATCACGTGTTTGTTTAAACACTATAAACTGAAATGGTCTCTATACAACAAAGATAAAGGATAGAGGGAAAGGAGAATGAACAGGAAAAAGACAGGAAGTACCAGAAACTTAGCTTAAAGACTCAAATAGATTTCCAATATTTAAGTATTTCCTATCAGTTTTAATATATACATATATAAATCTTTAGCATTACTTTTTTCCTTTGGTTCGTCCTGGGCAACAAATTAAATAAATCAACAATTACTTTGCCTTAGATATTTCATGTTTGAAATTGTGTAGATTATATTATTAAAATGAACTTTACAAAATTAAATGAAGTGAACTTTGTTTTACCTTGAGTGT